GATACGATGATGACACATCCGGATACGATGATGTCGCATCACTATACGACAACACTGTGTTGCGATATGATGGCATCACGTTGCAATACAATGATGTCATGTCACGATATGATGATGTCACATCACGATACAACAACATCATGTCGTGATACAGTGACATCACATTATGATACGATGATGACATGTCCCGATGTGATGATGTCACATCATGATACGACATCATCACGTCGCAATACGACGACATCACATTGTGATATGAGGATGTCCCATCATGACGTGATGACGTCACGTCATGATGCGATAGTGTCACGTTGCGATACGACAACATCGTGTTGCAAGACGATGACATCGCATTGTGATACGATGACGTCACGTCGTGATACAATGACATCACGTCGCGATACAGTGACGTCACGTCACGATGTGATGACGTCATGTCACGATACGATGACATCACGTCGCGATACAATGACATCACGTCGCGATACGATGATGTCACGTCGCGATACGATGGTCTCACATCACGATACAACATCGTGTTGCAATACGCTGACATCACATTGCAATATGATGATGTCACGTTTCAAGATGATGACATCACATTGTGATACGATGACGTCACGTCGTGATATGATGATGTCACATCGCGATACGACAACATTGTGTTGCAATACGATGACATCACACTGCGATACGATGACGTCACGTCGCGATACGACGATGTCACGTTGCGATACGATGAGATCATGTCGCGATACGATGACGTCACGTCGCGATACGACGACGTCACGTTGCGATCCCCCCCGCAGGGCGACGTGGAGGAGGACGAGGCGGTGCCGGACAGCGAGCAGGACATCAAGCCGCGGTTCCACAAGTCGCGCACGGTGACGTTGGCGCACGAGGAGCAGCGGGGAGGGGACGGCGACGGGGACGGCGACGACGAGGACGACGACGAGACCCTCTCGGACTGGAACCTGCGTAAGGGGGGGGGTGTGAGGGGTCCCTGGGGGGTTTTGGGGTTCTGGGGGGGGTCGTTAACCCTCCCTCACCTGTGCCCAGGTAAGTGCTCGGCCGCCGCCCTGGACGTCCTGGCCAACGTGTTCCGCGAGGAGCTGCTGCCCCACCTGCTGCCTCTGCTCAAGGAGCTGCTCTTCCACCTCGAGTGGGTGGTCAAGGAGTCGGGGATCCTGGTCCTGGGGGCCATCGCCGAAGGTGAACCCCTAAAATGACACCTGGTTATAGGGGATCCTGGTTATAGGGGATCCTGGTTAGAGGGGATCCTGGTTAGAGGGGATCCTGGCCCTGGGGGCCATCGCTGAAGGTGAACCCCCTAAAATGACACCTGGGGGGTTCTGGTTATAGGGGATCCTGGTCCTGGGGGCCATCGCCGAAGGTGAACCCCTGAAATGACACCTGGTTATAGGGGATCCTGGTTATAGGGGATCCTGGTCCTGGGGGCCATCGCTGAAGGTGAACCCCTAAAATGACACCTAGGGGCAAAAAATGACACCTACGGGGTTCTGGTTATAGGGGATTCTGGTCTTGGGGGCCATTGCCAAAGGTGAACCCCTAAAATGACACCTGGTTATAGGGGATCCTGGTTATAGGGGATCCTGGTCCTGGTTATAGGGGATCGTGGTTATAGGGGATCCTGGTCTTAGTTATAGGGGATCCTGGTTATACGGGATCCTGGTTATAGGGCATCCTGGTCCTGATTGTAGGGGATCCTGGTTATAGGGGATCCTGGTTATAGGGGATCCTGGTCCTGGTTTTAGGGGATCTTGGTTATAGGGGATCCTGGTTATAGGGGATTCTGGCTATAGGGCATCCTGATCCCAGGGTCCATCCTTGAGGGTGACTCCCCAAAACACCACCTGGGGAGGGGCCAGAGGGGCAGCCTGGGATCCACCACCACCAAAACTGGGCATGGGGGACCCCCAAAAAACCCACCACCTGACCCCCCCTGTGCCCCGCAGGCTGCATGCAGGGCATGGTGCCCTACCTGCCCGAGCTGGTGCCGCACCTGATCCGGTGCCTGGCGGACAGGAAGGCCCTGGTCCTGGTTGTAGGGGATCCTGGTTATAGGGGATCCTGGTTATAGGGCATCCTGGTCCTGATTGTAGGGGATCCTGGTTATAGGGGATCCTGGTTATAGGGGATCCTGGTCCTGGTTATAGAGGATCCTGGTTATAGGGGATCCTGGTCCTGGTTTTAGGGGATCTTGGTTATAGGAGATCCTGGTTATAGGGGATCCTGGTCCTGGTTATAGGGGATCCTGGTTATAGGGAATCCTGGTTATAGGGGATCCTGGTCCTGATTGTAGGGGATCCTGGTT